TAACCTCAGCATCGGCGTTCAAAGAATTCAAGAGGCAGGGTCTGCATCTTGGTTAAAGGAACCATTGGAACAGGGTGAAGTGCGAGGGCGTTTGAATCTGCTTCATTCCGCCCCCCCCCCCCCCCCTCCCTTCCTTGACTCCCCATTCTTTCCCCGCGTGAGGGGGGGGGGGGGGGGCGGAATGAAGCAGATTCAAACGCCCTCGCACTTCACCCTGTTCCAATGGTTCCTTTAACCAAGATGCAGACCCTGCCTCTTGAATTCTTTGAACGCCGATGCTGAGGTTAGCAAGGTAAGCTGGAGATCCACAGCCTTCCCTTAGTGGCTGTGTGTGAGGTGAGACAAGGTGTAGCATCCTTCTGGTGGGGCTCCGCTTCAGCATCCCGACTGGTCCTGCTGCTCAGGGCTGTCTCTGTCCATCTTTCTGGATGAACCTGGAGATTGGTGGCTCAACTGCATGCTCTTTGGCCTCAAGCCATAAACTCATTTATGACGCACGCCCAAAAGGAAGGGGAGGGAGGAAGCGATCCTTGTTTTTCACAAGTAGGCTTCCTCCACCTGTAATACCCTGGCCTGCTTTCTGTAATGATTGGAAATGGAAATGGCTTCCATTTCCAAGAGCTGGTCTTAAGCCATTTGATCAGTACAACCCATATCACACACACCCCTTGTGATTTCTGTCTCGTATGCGAACATGCAGTGCTCTTTGGTCTGAGCTTGCATCAATAAGCACTCTATCCTTTGTCTTCCTAACAAAACCCCTTTCTGACACCGTCGCTGACCTCTAGCAAAGGAGGGATTTGGTGGTTTGTTTGTTTTTTAATTCTCATTCTTCCCATTTAGCAAGGAGGAGGGCTCTTTCTTGGTTCACAGCCATACGCCCCCCTGGATCTGCAAGATCCTCCCATGCGGAACAGAGCAAACTCGAGTGAATGGATTCCAGCAGCAAAAATTTTCTTTCGTGTTCTTATTCTAGATATATGCAATAATACCAAACGCCTCTCTTTTTTCCCTTCCTCACATCATTCCAGCCATACTTTCCAGGCTCCTTCACTTTAAAAAGGAAACAAATGTTTATTGAATCATTGTAAGCTCCAGTATTTGCGTCAGAATTTGTTACTGTAAGATAAAAAGAAAATTAAAAGTTTTGTACGGTACTTCCATATTAAAAAAAATAAAATAAAATGAAATGTGTTAATGCAAAATTGCATGTGCTTCTCTTTCTCTCTCTGCCCCTTACATGTTTGGTTCTTAAAATGGAAAAAATAATTCAACTTTTTTTTTTTTTTTAATTTGTGGAGGGCTTGAGGACTGGGCTTCAAGGCTGGTGAACCAAGACCAAGACTGACTAGTAATAACTTTTAAAGAACTTTTCTTCTTGAGAAGGAAGCGGGTGGATGTTTTTTGTAGAAAAACAGAAGTGAAAAATGATGTTCCTGCATATAGGTCAGGGGTCTCAAACCATAACAACTGCCAACCCCTGATGCCTGCAACACTGGTGTCATTTCATACATTGATACAGAAGTTAAAAATGAAGATGTGTATGGCATTAAATGTAATTTTATTCCTTTAACTTAAATGCTTCATTTTGGCCACTTAGCTGGCAGTTTTTTCATTAACCAGAACAATATTTGGCTTTGTTTCTGGGTTGGTACATATTATTTTTCGAGACAATGCACAGGAAGATTTAATTTAGGAAGCCCATCCCACCAAGACCTACCCCAATTCTCCTCCTCTTTTTCTTTTTCCATGCCTGGCACAGTCCATCCCCCTAACAGAAAGATCTCCCGCCTCCTGGGCTGGCAGAGAGACCCTTAAGAGCTGGATAGCCAGATCCCGCCTTCCTGCTTTGTCTCGGCTCCCCACTGTCACTGCCTGCCTGAAGATCCCGGCACCACCTGAGAAGCAGTGCCCACCACTGGCTTCGAGAGTCAACAGTTCCTGGAGGCTGGTGGCATGGGTCAGCCAACCGCCTTGCCAGGAGCTCTGTTGGGTTGGGCTGAAGCAAGCTGCTAGGCTGCTATCTCCAAGCTGTTCCTCTTCCTGGAATGAGTCTATGGCCCAAACTGGGCATCTTTGTGGTGCTTGGCCAGCCTTGACCCACCATCTGCAGAAAATTACTTGGAAGGGCACATGTGGGTTACAAGCTTGAGGCTCCTGGTCTCGCCTCTGGTGGGTTGTGAAACTTTCCTGCAGAGGTGGTTACGCTCTGGGCTTCTTAACTTCCATCAGTGAACCCTGAACAGGGCTGAGGGGAGGGGAGAGACCATTCATGCATAGGTAGCAATTTTGCTTTGCCCTCAAATCCACCATCTGGGGAATTTGCTCTTAGCCTGTTCTTTGGCCACTAACCTCATAGCACTCTTTGGCTCAGATTATTTGCTTTAGCAGTCCTCCTTTCAAAATAGCTCCTCTTGCTACCACACAGTCATAAGTTTAGCTACTGATTTACTTTTTATTTTCATATCTTTCAGCCATTCCCTGTGTTGTTGCATTTTTTGCAGTGTTCTTGCTAGGGCTCTGTTTCATCCTGCTTCTTCTGCTGTTGGGTGACCACCATGCCAGTGTTAGGCAGCCCAAACACCATGTTTTTGTCGACCCCAGAACACTCCCTAGATCAGTGTTTCTCAAACTTGGCAACTTTAAGACGTGTGGACTTCAAGTCCCAGAATTCCCCATGCTGGCTGGGTAATTCTGGGAGTTGAAGTCCACACGTCCTAAAGTTGCCATGGTTGAGAAACATTGTTCGAGAACATGTTGCTCAGTCTGGTAGCAACAATGCTGATTTTGGGTGGCACAATATTTATTTATTTATTTAACACATTTATATGGCTGCCCAACTCACACACAGGGACTCCAGGCGGCTTACAGAGTAAAACCCCCAATACAAAAAACCTATCAACTCCCACTCCCCAATAATGTTCCTTGTTTCCTTTTTTCTTAAATAAAATTTCCAACTCTTCTCCACCTGCAACAAGCAATACCTCTTCACAAAACAAATAGTTGGCGTGTCTCCTGTGGCATACAAAGCCAGAACATTTTTTAAAATGAACCTGGTCCTAGCCACAAAAACATTTACCTGCCCCAACTTATACTGCACACAAAATCTATTGCCTCTCTCTTGCAAGGCTATTGAGACAGAATCCAAATGTAAGGCTTATAAAATATCCATTTCTTTTCCTCCCTGCCTCTGAGGGGCAGCTAGATCTCATGAATCCTGTGAGGTTCACCAGACGGGGAGCATGGATTGTGTTAGGCCTCATGCTTTTCCTTGATTTGAACCTAGTTGTCTTGTTCCCAATAGATTATTGATCCTTACCACCTTATTGCCTCTCTAAAGTTTATGCCTGTATTGTAATTTTCATGGGGGACATAACTGCTGGTAAAGAAAATACATCTGGGTTACTCAAGTGATCCAATCAGCCTCCCTGCATCAACAGATGTTTCCAGGAAGTATATCAGGGACAGGTTGTGATGGCAAGAATTAGCTTGTTGCTTCTCTACTAGGAACTGGTATTTCTGGAAGAGAGTGTTGCAAAGAGTGGGTAGCACCAAGAAGGCCACTTATAAACCCTTCTTGATTAGAGGGTATTGCCCTATCTTATAGTAGCAAATTCCTTAAATTCATGTGAAGCTGCTTAACATACCCGGCTGAGTGTTGACAGTATTGGCCAAGGTGCTACGTAATGTCTTTTGTTGCCGAGAGCAGGAAATGCTCACCAACTCATTTGTCTTGTTCTTCCCATATAGGGGGTTCCTAATGTTTTTACCCCAGGCTGCTCATGATGGCCTCTCTATTGGGAAACTTCACTCTAAATTAAATATGCCAAAGTTGCCCGCTTGATAGGTTGCATTAATTCAACAGGTACCTTTCAGGGACATCCACAGTACCTGTGTGCCAAAAAAAGTCATGACAGTGGATGTGACCATGTGAACAAACCTCTGTTTTTTGTTACTTGGTTCACATATGCAACATGCATAAAATGAACAGAGTTTCAATTTTGCAGTCTGCATCTTGACTTTTTTGGGAGGAGGGGGTGCATAGCTTCTGCCTTGAAAAAAAAAATTATTAGAATTTTTCAATACGATAAAAAGTATAAAAAATAAAGAAAAAATAAGGAAAAACGAGAAGTAGAAAAAGAAAGAAAACATAAAATGATGACTTCCACCCTTCTTTCTATCGAGTAATTGCCATCTTATTCTTTCCCCTTCCTCTTTAACCATTTTTAATCCCCAAATCCATAAATTATCAATTCAGCCTTTTCTTCTTTCAACAAAAAAAGTCCATATAAGGCTTCCAGTCTTTTAAAAACGTCTTCATCTTTTTTTCCTTGACCAAAGTGGTCAGCTCCGCCATTTCCGCAAGCTCTGTCAATTTTATAATCCAATCCAGTACCCTCTGGGGGAGATAGGTGGCATATAAATTTAATCAATCAATCAATCAATCAATCCTCTACTGTGAGTATTTCATTATTCTTCCATCACCATCTTGACTTTTTACACACACCCCAGCGGATGCCCCCATATCTTTTCACAGCTCTAGAAAAGAGTATTGTAAGAGTTGATTTCTGGTTCACAGAAGGATTTTATTCTCAAGAAAACCAGACAGGAATACATCTGTAGACTAGACTGGGAAGAAATCAGTGGCAAACTGGTGGGTATCTTTCCATGAAAACAGCATGGACCCATTCATGAGGAAAACCTCCCTTTCTTACTTTATCTTATGCAGATTGAATTTTTTTTTTTCATTTGCTAATCTAATTTCCATGTTACACTAAGATAGGGGTAGGTAACAACTTATGGGTGAACTTAGTGTGGAATTAATTTTTAGAAATACATTGCCATTCTCCTGGTTATATGCTGAAGGACACATTTTTCTTATTTTCAAATCTCCAACTTGATGGCAGA